CCTGGACATTTCAGTTCACAAGGAACTGAATTAAAAAGGCAGCCTTATCGACGGAGTTTTTCACATCAGTGACAATTGCTTCAAAATTTCAAATCATCAGTGATACTCAGCTTTTAGTCCATAAAAGTAATTGTGCTGGGCACCAATGGGGCATAAAACGGGCTTAGTTTCTGCCTACGTGGGGTTTTTCATCTACCAGTGAGATAAGAAAAATGTATGAAAAGGAAAATGTATGAACAATAAAGTAAATAAGCAATTAGAAGTTCAATGAAATAGATAAAGATATGATTAACTACAAATGGACTGACACACTGTAAATATTATAGGAAATTAGATGAGAGATCATTTATTCATTTGTCAGTCACTTAATTGGTATTTATACTGTGCCAGGCATTATATCTCTTCTGCAGACTGTTCCTTGGAACTCAGACCTATATATCCAATTTCCTATTTAAGATCTCCACGTGTAGACCTAATAGGTATTTCAAGCTTAACGTGTCTTACAGTGAACTTAGATTCACTTGCCAAATCTCTTGCAGTCTTCCCTTCTGAATGGCAACCCAGTCCTCTGGTTATTCAAGCCAAAAACCAACCAACCAACCAATCAAACAAACAAACAAAAAACCCAAAATATCATACATTCATTCCTCATCCCCCTCTTCCTCTCAGTCTTTATATTTAATTTGTAAGCAAATCCTATGGGTCCTACTTTTAAAATCTATGTGAATCCAACCACTCCTCCCAGCTTCAACAACGCGCATTCAGGTCTCTTGCTGGGCTCATGGCAATAGCTTCCTGATTAATGGTCTCCGGCTTCAACCCTCTGCAGCCGTACTTCCTGTCACTCCCCTGCTCCAGGCCATCCAGATCAACAAGCCCAGAGTTAACACAGCACTTACTCCCCACCAGGTACTGTTCTAAGCTCTTTGCAAGTATTGACTGAATCCTCACAATAACCTTGCAGGGCAGGCGCTGTGACTCTGTTTCATCGGCGAGGACAAGTCATGATCACACAGCTGGTGAGCAGCATGCACAGGATCAGCCTTGACACTCTGCTGCCTGTGCTCTCAGCTTCTGTGTCTTTTCCCGCCGACACTTTCCCTTCTCACTTGGGAAGAAGGCCAAGCCTGCCAAGCCTCTCTGATCTCTCCCCTGTTACCTCCATGATCCCGTTACCTCCATGACATCTCCCTCCGTTACCTCCTCCTCAGCTCACTCAGCCACACTGGCTTCCTCACTGGTCTGCAAACACCCCACGCTTCTTCCCATATCATGGATTTCCACCCTGGCTGGTCCCTCTGCCTGAGATCTTTCCCCACAGAGAGTGGCTTGACTCACTCATGCCCTCATCTCCCTCGAGTCTCTTCCTCATATGTCACTTTTTCAGTTAGGATGTCCCCGATCCTTCCTATTGATAATCTTTCCAATATGCCTCGACATGATTCCAAGCACTTACACATTCTTTATCTCATTAAACCCTCGTAACAGCTCTGGGTTGCGGGAAGTGTTACCTCTCCTACAGATGAGGAAGAGAGGCACAGAGTTGTTAAACAGCATGCAGAAGGTCACACAGCCGATACGGGGTGAAGTCAGGACTCCAGCCTGGCTCAAGAGTCTGTGATCTTAGAAACACACACACACATACATACATACACACACACACAATCAGTATACAAAACTTGGTGACTAATGATTGATGGGAAAGTAAGAGGATAAAAAAATCAGTTTGTTCAGAAGCTTATAGCCAGAGTGAGAAGATGAGGTTAAAGGAGGGTGAGAGGTGAAGGGTTTAGGTGATCAGTTTCCAGAGTGATGTTTCTCAGAGTGTCATCCACGGTGCTCCCGCATCAGAATCACTGGGGGGTGCTTGCTACCAGTGCAGATTCCTGGGTGCCACTTTAGACCTTCTGATGTAGAGGCACTGGGGCCAGGAGCCCAAGGATTTGTATTGTTAAGAACTCCTAGGTGATTCTCAAACACATTACAGTTTTCAAACCACTGTCTTGGAAAATAGGGAATACTTTCATTGACTTAAATTTGTACACAAAGCATCAGCACACTAATGCAGTATTTCCATAACAAGATTTGCAAAATACACTATGACCGTGAAACTTTGCGATGTAGGGCAGGGATCTTTGATGGGTTCATTCATTGATGGATTCCAGGTACCTAGAACAGTACTTGGTCCCCCTAATGGGTCATCAATAAATAGTTGTGGAATATGTGAAATTTCAAGTGGCCCAGAAGAAACTTTCAAGATGCATGATAACTTTGTCTGAGCGTAATTTGCTCTGAGTGGTCCAAGATTTCTATTAGATGTCTTATAAAAATTCAGTTTTATCAGGTTTATCATTATTTCTTTAGAAATATAAACAGAGTGAAAAACAGAGTATATTGGCTTTTGGAATTGTTGATCTACAGGAGATCTGAGGCTCTGGCATTTAGCAGCTGTGTGATGGGAACCAGGTATTTGATCTTTCCGAACCCTGTTTTCCTCTTCAGTAAATTCATCATCACCTCATTTAATGTCAGTAAAGGTATCAAATGAATTAAAAGGATCTTTGAAAAAACAGGGTATTGTTATTAAGTGAATTATTATTTTTATGTCTCAGCTACTTTGAAATACTTTTTTTGCAAATTTCTAGCTGCAAAATTTAGTTAGTAAAATTAGAAAAACATGACTGTTTTAATGACTGAGGTGGCACAAGTGATACACATAGCTACAGAATGTGTTACTGTTATTAACCAGAGTTACACACTTAGACACCAATGTCTCAAAATCCTTTTAAATTTAATTTGCGAAAATTTATGGGAGTAATGAGTAGAAATTATTCCTACTGTTTCCTCTTAGAGATGATCATAGCCCAATAGTTGAAAAACAGTATCGGCTTCTGAAAATCAAATAGTGACGTGTTAGAGAAGCTGGTGTAGAACGTTACAGCGTCGTATTCTGTCACTCAGAGGCACAGCCCAAGCCAAATGACTTTCATTTAAAAACTTTCAGTGTAACAGGTATTTATCATTCATTATTTACTACATCCTCAATAACTGAACACTGAAATCTAAGAGAAAAAAGTCGATTTTGCTGAAACCATGCAAACTTCAGTGCCTCCCTGGTTTTGGAAACTTTACACACCACCTCCATCCCAATATGAGATTTCAGTGACTAAGCAGATCTCTCCTGGAACCTAAAGTAAGGAAAGATTCTACCCTCTGCCGCCTTCTTGCTGATCAAACAGATATGCAAAGAAGGAGTAACACTGTCTATTATAATTAAAGCACAGACAAAAATGTACTTTGACAAGTGGCAAGAAACAGCTCGCTAATTAAAACACCACGCATTCCACAATATTCTCAAAAACTTTATTCTGATTTTATGCCTAAGTTAAGCATTTTGGAAAGGCATTTCCGCTGCAGTCAGAAATAGAAGCCTCAAATATTCTGAAGTTAAAGATCTAACCACCAACATCAACACAACTTGATTGGTTACATGTGATACAAAAATAGCTATTTGGGCTCTAGCTTCAAATTAGAGTTATAAAATCCAATCCACTTAATTAAGCCAAACTTCCCAATTTGCTCTATGTTTCTTCACAAAAAGTTAATATCAGCATACAAAATGTTAGGTAGCAAAGCATTTCCAACAGACCGATAAACTGCACATTTTCATGAGAGGCCTAAGAGAAAGAAAACTAGCTCTTTGAATGATACATGAAATAGTTTTGAAAGATTCTCCCCAAACAGTAAAGCACAGTAGTAAACACTAGGTCACACATTGCTGTACCTAAAGCTGAAAACCCAAACCCCAAATTGCAACCTCATTTCTATAATAACAGTGCAATCAACGGAGGCTGTTTTTGCCACAGACAGCATACCATTACGATGAGGGTTCTGGGTCTACTCATTTCATCGTCACTTTCCAGAGGCAAAATTTCATGGGATGGTTCCTCCTGGCGTCGTCTACAAATGTGTGGACAGCTCCTCTGGACCACAGAACGAAAAGCTTGAAGCAGAACAATGCTGGCAGTGCAGCCCATCGCTGCATCCTGGAGCCTACGAAATAACTTCTATGTTGATGCTATGTTTGAAAAACAGTGGCTCCTTGTCCCTGAAAACAGCCTACATTGCAGCTGCAGCCAGCTCGCTCTCCAATCACTTCCTTGAGCTCTGATCATCTGATCGCCGCCAAATAGCTTGGATGCAGAGATGGGAAAGATCTGATCCACTGAAACTGAACACACTCAGGAACAGGAGAGCATTTCGCCTAGAGAGCGTTTCTCAGTTCATTGCGAGAGCATGTTTCCTGTTCATGACAATGACTCTCTTCAATTCTAGTTTCAGAGGTTGGAATAAATGTATCTTTCCCCCTCAGACACTCAAATAAATAACTCTTTTATACATTAAACCACTTAGAAACTGACTTCACCCTAATATTTTTTCCAAGGCAAATGAGTGTCATAGAAAGAGTGAAAATTATTGATTTTTTTAAAAAGACATAAACACTTTCTGAAGGAAATTTTGCTAGCCACCGAAATGACTGGGGTTTTACTTTTCACAGCTCATAAGTTCCAGCAATCAAACTGGCTCATCCGAAACGTGGAGTCGCTGAATCAAAACAATTTATCAAAAGTATGCACGCGTTAACCAAACCCATGTGAGCGACACCAGTGCTCCCCCTGTGATTTCCTTTCAATAGCAGGGTTGTTCTGTTCCCACACATGCAGTTTTGCAGCCTAATACATTTTTATATTTACACAGGCGGCTTGCAGGGCTGAAAATATCTCTATTACTGAGGTCAGTAAGCGAGCTCCGCCAAGCTGATCTCTTAGAGAAAGCGGCTGTAAAGCAGTTTCACAGCCTATCAGTAAGGATTCAAGGCTCCAGGAAGGACTTTGAGGTCCTCGGTAGTTAAGAGTCTAGTGTTCCCTGACTCCTGCGAGACTAGTCACTTAGGAGGGAACCGGAGAGATGCTTAGAAGTCACGTGACCTGTTTGGAATGGCCTCAAGATCTAATGGTATACTGTAAGAGAATAGGACAGCAGGGGATGCTTGCACTAAAAATATCTCGTGGAAAATAGATTTTGCTTACAAATGAGGAAAGTATGAAATCCCCAGTAGGATGTTCAATGTCGAGATCTTTCTGTCAAGCTAATCCTTCCAGTGTTAACTCTCGGAGAGTCAAAGTAAAAATGTTTTCTTTGGTTTCTGGGCTCCTGGGAGTGCAGCGTGCTGCAGGAAGTTTGGAGCGTTGTTTTGCTCTAAGGTGTGGCCGCTCCGACCCCAGTAAAGAGGCTTTCACAGAAGCATCTAGCAGAATGCTCAGCTAGGCATTAATTGCTCAGTAATCTGTCACAACACAGCCTCATTTTAATTGCTATGTTTACTAGAGAAGCAAAACTTTTTTTTTTCCTTTTAAGAGGTACTGGCTGCCAGTAGTTTTTCTTCTCCTCTGTTTTGAACAAACATATTTTACCGCGGCTGGACGAAGAAGAGAAAAATGCTAATGGTGCTGGCAAGTCCCTTAACTCCCTCCGGACCTTTGTCAGAGTGCCCGGCTGCTAATCTAAACCATTTTTTACTCCAAACAACTGGAGCATTTACTGAAGAGAGGCTACGATTTAGCCTGTCTGGCTTGTGTATTGAATATCTATATAAATGGTGTCCACCAGAGACAAAGCACAGAGTGGGCTTCCATGATTATGTATGTGCCTTTTCAAATATGATCGCTCCTTGGGGCTCCCCAGATGGTCAGGGTCCTCCACCGCCCACCCACTCCCATACTGCATGACCTAGGATGCTCCAATCAGTCCCTTGGGTTCATCTGCTTATGACCGAATGGCTTGAATGCAGCAAGACTCTGACTGGGGACGCTTAAACATTCCACCAGCTCCAGTCGGCAGCAGGAGGGGGATGACCTTCAGTCATACCCCAGGGGCTTGGCAGGAAGAGGCAGCTTGCATCCCAGACTCCTTGCTAGCCACCTCTCGCTAAATCTGGCTAAACCTCTGGGGTGCCTTCTGGAGTCAGATGTTTTGGCAGATGCCACAGTCTTTGGGGAAACAAATGATGCGCTTTCTAGCTATTAGAGGCCTGTATTCATCGATTCCCCGTTCTGCCTCTAAGGAATTCATCCCTATTACTGATGGGCTGCTGAGGGACTCCCCGTGTTTTCTCTCTCTCTCTTCTCTTTCAACTTCCATCATCAAGGGAATCTCCAAGAATTATTAGTTTCCTGGGAATTCAGTGCCACAGCCGCCGAATGGACAGCAGACTGAAAGGATGAACACTGGAGAGTAACAGCTGGACATGCAATCCAACGTTTTCTTATGAGAAATTTCAAACATGCAGCAGAGGCAAGACAGGGACCAGTTCTGAGCTCTAAGTTTGAAATAGTAAATTGATGTGGGGATGCGGTGCGATTGAGGAGGAGATAAGGCCCCTTTCCCCCCTGTATTTGTCAAATAGGCTGATACCCAGAAAATCTTAAAAGAGGAAGAATAAACTCCCCACAGGTGTCTGCTATTGTCTTTGAAGTATTAATAAAATGAATCATTAATTTGGCCTTCAAGCATCTGAAAGCTGCTGCTGGTAACAGTATGTTGCCTTATAAAACAAACACAAGCTCGGATGAAAATATGGTAATTGAGAAACAGTACGTACATGTGTTTCTTTCCCTCCTTCCCAAAGTCCAAGTGAAATGACAACAAAACAATATAAAAGGGAATATATTAGTTACAGGGAGAAAGTGGGGGGAGATCTTTGAGCAGATGAGAGGAGAGTTTTTAGGAAGTTTTTCTGAAAGAAGAAAGGTAAATATGATCACATTGATCAATAACCAAACATGAAGGATGAGCAACAACGTGGAGGAGGCTGCGGACGGACGAGCCACTGTTCTCAACAGAGCCTTGGGGGGAGGGGGGCTCCAAGCCTGAGGAAAGCAGGCACCGGGCGTGAGAAAGTACCCAATGGACCCCAACATCCCCCCAACCCCACCCCAGCAGACAGAACTATAGAGCACCTGACAACAGCTCCCTGCAGAAGAGCAAATGCTTCCACAATATGTCACGCAGGGGTCAGCATCTCAGAGAAACGCCCTCGTTTATTCTGGCCTTGGCTGGTGAAGGCGGGCGTGAGCCTGAGAGCCATCAGTCGGATGTCAGTCTAAACAAGTAAAGAAGGGGGGCTCGCAATAGCCAAGACATGGAAGCAACCTGTGTGTCTATCGACAGCTGACTAGAGAAAGAAGATGTGGTGTACATACACAGTGGAATCCTACTCAGTCATAAAACAGAATGAAATACTGCCATTTGCAGCAACATGAATGGACCTAGAGATTATCATACTAAGTGAAGTAAATCAGACAGAGAAAGACAAATATCACATGATTATCACTTATAGGTGGAATCTAAAAAAAAAATACAAATGAACTTACTTACAAAACAGAAATGGACTCACAGACATAGAAAACAAATTATGGTTACCAAGGGGGGTGGGGGGCAGGGATAAGTTAGGAGTTTGGGATTAGCAGATGCAAACTAATATATATAAAATGAACAAACAAGGTCCCACGGCACAGCTCAGGGAACTATATTCAATATCTTATAATAACCTAAAATGAAAAAGGATATGAAAAAAAAAATATATATATATATGTATACTGAATCACTATGCTGTACACCAGAAACTAACACAACATTGTAAATCAACTCTACTTCAATAAAAAAAAAAAGAAGGGGGCATCAAGGACTCTTCTTCCTGTTTCTGGAGACAGAAGGCAGAGCAGTCGGCTACCCAAACTACGGAGGTCCCTCCTTATATTTGGATTTATTTATAGAGGTACTGACAATAGATGTACTGAACAACATGGTCCGAGTCTAACCAGATCCTCGTCCCGACGGCAGCCTGGAGGGAGAGGCGGCGGCAGAGTGCAGCAGAAAGGCTCACAGTGAGCCGCAGAGTCAGACAGACGCCTGCTCAATCGAGGCTCTGCTGCCGATCAGCTGTGTGATCCTGAGCAAGCGTTTCACCTCTCTGAGCCTCCATAGAATCGGCTGTAACATGCAGATAATCCTTTACACCTGACAGGATATCGGTGGGAGGAGAGTACCTGAAAAGACCAACAGAGAGCCGGGCCCATAATAATAATCATTCGATGAGCAAGCCTCTGCTGAAGGTAAGGGCGGAAACTTGGTCTCCTCCCTTCAGCCTCGGGGCTCAGCACAGACATGGTACTGCCCCAGAGAAGCCCCCTGGACAGGCCTCGCCTGCCTCACAGCACCGAACCTCAGTCCTTACTACTGCACCCTGGGGGTTTCTTTCTTAACACACAAGCTGAAGTTACATTTAGATGGGCTTTTTAAAACAAATTTAAAATTAAAAAAAATTTTAATGGAGGTACTGGGATTTGAACCTAGGACCTAGCACATGCTAAGCATGCACCCTGCCACTGAACTGTACCCCTGCCCCACCCTGGACTTCATTTTTAAGTGACGTCTTCCCCTGTCTATAAGAGCTGACGTTGTGCAGACTTGATTCATGCCCGCCATGTAGTCAACGCTTAGTGAACAGTAATAAAAACAATAATGGTACTTATAATAAAGCAAGCCCTTTCCTGGTGCTTACTCTGGGCCGGGCACAGTTCTACTCAATATTTATCATTTGTGTGCATCTCCATCTATGAGGTCGTGCTCTGATCATGCCCATTTTACAGCAGAAGAAACTGAGGCACCAAGAAGTTAGGTGAGTCGCTCCTAGACTCACAGGCAGTAAGTGGCAGCACCAGAATTTGAATTTAGCCACTCTGGCTACAGGATCTGAGCTTTTAAAAACCAACTCTGAAAGCCAAACGTGTGCCAAGCAAACCCTGTATCTTCCAAAGGTGGATTTATACCAGAAAAATATTTGGCACATGGCAGAGTGTAGTGAGGCAACCTTACAGCATCCCCTTTGAGAGCTGGTCTGCCCATCACACGAAAATCTGAGATGTTTCCTTGGATCACAGTCATGGAAGGCAGCTAGCAGTGTTAGCACTTTGTTTTAGGTGACGATTGAAACTGCATTTTGATGGGAATTTAAAACAGCTGAAAACAATGAATTCGATAAGAGAATTTTTAATAAATGTGTTTACTGTGTGAAGTGTTCATTGGCAGAAGGGACTCTCCTATCCACCTTGGATCTAAAACATATGGTTGGAGAGTGGAATCATGACTGGCTTCCTTCGTAACTCCTTGGCCCAGCATCTGTCCTTACAGGACAAGGGTGCTGGTTAACACCGAAATGCCCCCAGAAAGGGGGCTACTTTGGGTTCAATAGGAATGAGGCAGTCACCCTAGGACACTCTTGCAGCCTGGACATGGCTCCAAGAGGAAGCCCCCGCCACTTGCTCTCAAATCCGT